TCAAAGGTCTCGCATAACTGATTGATTTGAGCATGAACCGCACGTACAACTTACACCAAATATATTGGGACGGAGCACTGGAGGACAAGGGTGGTAGTTGTCATCTGTTATGTGAGCATTAAGCTTTAAACCTCAAGTGAACGTTAACATTTTTCTAATCTGAAAATGTATTTCCATAGACATTCACCTCCACACACAGAAGTGCTACTTCCGTCATGCATCTGCCTATAAGACTTGCATGACACTAGTCTTCAGCTAACTAAATTCATATATTTAACATGAACTTCACTGGTGCATGATGATGACATCATGTGACAATAACCCTCCACCAAAGGAGAGTGACACAACCTCCATGCACAGAAACTCCCCCTACACATTTGCACTCATGATAACTTCATTCTTATACAAAGCAGAGGAAAAAAGGTGCTCCAAAGGTGGGAATGTGTGTGAGATGAGTAACTATTGGAAATACATTTTCAGGTAACAAAAATGTCAACTTCTGAGATGATAACTCACCTCCGTACACAGGAATGCTAGAATCCCATGTTGAAGAGGTAGAATGGCTGGTGCAAAATTTTTGCTAGATGAACTCCCTTCAGAAAGCTCCCAAATAGAAGCCCATGGAATGTGAGACCTGATAGCAGGGGCTCCATAGGGAAATAAGCATATTGTGGGAAGCAACACCCACCACCTGGCATGATTCTGTTTCATGAAAGGGGTGAAGAGGGAAAAAAAAAGAAACACATACTTACTCATCTCAAAGATGGTGTGTTTATTAAGAATAACAACTGAGGGAAGATGAAATCCTGCATGGAATGAAGTAGCAAGATGATGAAGATATTGAGGGACAAACATGTGGAGAGTCATTCACATGCCTGCCTGGAGAATCTCATCCAAGGGCGGGCAAAGGTTGGAAGCAAGGGGGTGTGACAGGTGACAAATCTGATGCGAAGAAATGTGAAATAGCCTGCAAGCATCCACATCTACAGAAGGATATAGCAAATGAAGGAGTTGATGGACCCATCCAGTAAGGGTAGAAGGAGAGAGGTTCCTAAAAGAAGAGGGGTCTCAGAGTAAGAATAGGCCTTATGGGGACTCCAAATGGGAGAAGTCCAAGATAAGTAACACCAAACAGTTCAATCAGGGCACGGGAGCTGGTCTGGGTCTGAGCAACCACATAGGTGAGAGAAAGAAGAAAGTGAGACAGGACAGAAAGTATGGTTACCTTCCAGAGCAGCAGAAGACTTAGGAAGGAAAGGCTAGTCTGGGTAAAGGAGTATTTAAGTGCAATGGAAGAGAGTGCAAGAAGAACAAATGGGCATAGATATCTAAATGATGGCAACCACAGGTTAAAAGAAGGAAATAATTGTTGAGAAAAAGATGGTACAAAGAGCAAAAAGCCAACAGCTTGAATTGGGCATGTGTGAGAGCATGCAAAACCACATTAAGATGCAGTTTGGCAAGGAGCTTAATAAAAAATGAAGGAGCAGAACAGATGTAAAATAATAGGGGAAAAAAACACCCTGTGGTACCAGGAAAGATGAAATGTTGTAGACAAAGCTGCCCGATAACAAGCACTGGTGGAGACTGACAAACCATGGTTGAACAGCCAGGATAGGAGTGGAGGACTGACCAACAAGGAAAGAACCACCACTTATCTTGATAGGGAGACATTGTGGAAGGTGACAGGAATGAGACAAGAAGAATGTTACATGATCAGACCTGACAACTCCCACACACGAAGACGGAGGAACAATATCTCTTGTGAGGTTGAATCAATAAGTAACGAACACTGGATTGAGAAAAAGGTTCTGGATGCTAAGCAAAGAAGCAGAGGAAACCAACTAAAGGCTGAGCTGGTTAAAGAGGTGCCACTAGGAGGACTCGACAAAGAGAGTTGAATATCAAAAGGTGAAGACTTGAGAGAGAGGAAGCAAAGTGAAGAGTAGGCATATAGAAAAAGGTAAAACCAGTACTCACAAAGGGCTTTGACAGCCAGAGCTGAAGAATGAGAAACAACGGACCAGAAAAGTGGAAGCCAGGAGTCGAGAGGGGTAGCAAAGGCATCTATGATAAGTATGCCCAACCAAGAGGAAACCCAACGAAAGACCTGGGAATGAAGAGACCACTCCATTGGTGGAATGTAGTCTAACCAAGAGAGGTGGCTCACCAGGTTCATTGCTCCCGGTAAATTACAGAGAGCAAGACAAACCTGATGTGAATGGGCCAAGAAGAGGAGGTCCAACATTTGAAAGCAAATGGTCATGGAACAGTTGATCCCTTGAGGATTGATGTAAGAAACAACCATGGAATTGTCAGAGTGGATCATGATTAAGTGATCCACCAGTAGGGGCAAGAAATGGAAACGTGCCCTAGGAACAGCAAAAAGTTCAAGCACTCTGATGTGGAGTGAACACTTGTCCAAATTCCTGAAGCCGTGTCATCCTTCAGAGAAGTGCCCTTACCTGAGAGGGATATATCTGTGAAGAAATAGAGATCCAGTCTTGGGGGTGGACAGGAAATGCAGAGATAATTTTGGCATGCGAGACCAATGGATTCATTCTCAAGATCTTTTGTCTTTGATTGTGAACCTCTTCTCTCCTCAAGGAATTGTCATGGTGGCTGAAGCCATTGGTCTCGCAAGGTCCCCTGACAGAAGTGCATGTGTGATATGCCCCAAAGGGGTTCCAAGGATGAGAAGGAGCAGTGCAAATCTTAGTGACTACACACTTCTTAATCTGCAAGCAAAGGGGAGAAGGCTCAGCTCGTCTGAGACAAGAGTTGAAGAAGACACCCAGATGTAGCAAATACTGAGTAGAAGTAAGAAAGGACATTGATATCTTGACAAGCCACACCAACCAAGCAGCCTCCTGTAAATGAAGGAAAGTGTGAGAAGAGGATACCACTTGGGAATGGCCTAAGAGGAGCTAATAATCCATGTAGAAATTGAATCTCAGTCCCGGGCTGTGAAGGTGGCAAGTGAGGGTCCTCCTGATTCAATTAAATATATAAGGAGCAAACACTATGCTGAAGGGAAGAGCATAAAATTGGAAAACACAATGGCAATGGACAAATTGTATATAATGTCTGGAGGACAGGGGAATTAGGATGTGGATGAAGATGTCTGACACACTGACTTTGGTCATCCACAGCCTAGCTGAAAAGGGCCAATGGACATGAAAAGAAATTCTCCATCCAAAATCATGGAACAACTAGATATCAGTTGATGGACAATAGGTCATTACTGGATGCCAATCCCCGGGCTTCTTGAGGAGCACAGAGAGACAAGAGTAAAACCCCAGAGAAAGGTCTTACACCCTTTTGATGGCAAAGATAGATTGGGTATGAAAGAGTAGAGAAGGAAATGGGAAGAGGATAAATGAAGTGGAGAGAAAGACTATTGGTGAGAACTTGAAGAACCAATCTGTAAGTACAGAAGAGTGACAAAAAGTCAGTAAAACAAGACAGATAGGCGTCCACTGGGCCCGACCCAACAACATAGTCACTGACATGTGACAAACCTGACAGTGAGTAGTGGGAGGACACGGAAAAAGGGAAAGTCTGAAAGGTGAAATAGGTAGATCAGGAACAGACCGAGCCAGTTGAGGAAAGGAGTGGAAGAGCGAGGTTGTGAAAGGTGAGAAACCAGAGAAGGTAAAGAGGACTGGTGCCAAGCTGCTTTGGCCCTGGAAAATGAAAGGAACATACCTGAGAAATTAAATCCTGAAACAGTGTGGAAGGTTG